TTTCTAATTCTACCTTAAAACAGGTCTGATTCTATTCCTAAACAACAAATGTTTAAAGACCACCTTGAGTTTTATCTTCCTCCGAACCAAATGGAACATGTTCCTTGTATGAGTTGTTTTGTTGACAAATTATAGTTATACAAAATTAGAGATAAGGGCAAAATAGTTTCTGCCGGGTAGTGGGGAGAGGGAGGGGACGAGGGGGTGGGTAAGGAAGGGAGGTAGGAGAAGGGGGGAGAAATGACCCAAACATTGTATGCACATATGAATAAAATAAAAATTTTTTAAAAAAATTATAGTTGTATATATTTGTGGGGTGCCCTATTATGATTTTGAGCTGTTCTGCTTGCTTTCCTCTGTGTTCCCAGAGGTCATGGTTCCAAAGAGAAGCCTGTATTCATGTAGGGGACTGTCTGGGTAGAATGGTGCTTCACTGTCTGTGCTACAGGTCTTGTTTGGGTTATGTCATAGCTATGTGTGTGTCAAACTGAGGAACCTGTTAGTTTGAAATCAACTTAAATAGATTGCATCCTACATTGAAAAAGAAAGGAAAAACAGAAGAAAGACATTAGATAATATAGGAAGAGGAGGTACTGTTTTGTAAAATGTCATAAGTATATAATGAATTGGTATGAAGTGAGTCATTACTGTGAAATGTAGTTAAAATGCTTGAAATAAAACATGGGCCATAGGACTGAAGCAGCTATATCATATCATATTGAGTGCAGCATCAGTTAACTGACAGTCTTTTCTCTTCCCTGGTTCCTGAGACATTTTAATGCACACTGCTGACATTGTTAAATGCCCTTCCCAACAGTAATCTACATAGGTAAAATTTAGGATCTAAGTACAGGATCCTATTTACCCTGTTAAGATTTTTTTTCTCTCTAGTCTTTTCAGCTACTGTTCCAAGCCTGTGTGACTTTATGGCACTTGGTGCTGTCACTGAACATAGTGTACCTTCTCTATCATTATATGAATATGTTGAACAGTACAGTTCTGAGAAAAGAACCCTGTGGCTATGGCAAACCACTAGAGATTCTTCCCCCTACCAGTTGATACACCACTTGTACCCTTTGAGCATGGTCGTCTAGCCAATGGTAAGCCAGCTCTAAGCCTCTCACTCTATAGCTGTCCTCAGAGGGGTCATGGAAGACATTCTACAACTTGACCACTTACAGACTGAACTGCAAACTCAAAAGCCTGCAGGGGCTTGGCAGGTAATACAAGTGAATGAAGTGATAATTAATTCAGGCAATTAATAAGTAATCAATCCCTGACCCCTGGCCTTGGTTTCTGGAAGGCAATGTGGATGATGAAACCAGGAGTGAGCTGGATTATTTATAATTGTGTAAGCAAAGGCCACTGCTCTGTTATAAGCAAATTTGCCTGATAGAAATGTGGACCTTCAAGAAAATCCAGGTTTTGTGTACAATTTGATTATTTTTAATTTTGGCAAAGCAAAATCATTAACACTAGATAGGCCAACTAAAACAGACCTGTAACAAATTTGGCCCCCATCTCTGAGTCTATGACCCCATCCATGGTATTCCCTCACCTACTGATCCACTGACCACATGACACAAAACAGTAAAATTGGTAGGCTCTTGATGGGTTGATGGTCTTCTGTGGAACCTGACTCCTTATACTTCCTTTGTTAGCTCTTTCAGGAATCCTACCTGAGACAGTGGCTCAAGTGGTAGAGCACCTGCCTAGTACTTGCTAGGCTTACTAGCCTAGCAAGCATAAGGCCCTGAGTTCAAACCTCAGTACCATTTAAAAAAAAAAAAAAAACACCAAAAATCTCAAATCCTGTGGACTGAAAGTTGGGAATTATGCTTGCTCTCTGTGCCTGTTGGCACTGTCTGCTGGCATATTTGCTCTGGGATCACTGGAAGGTATTGAGAAATAAATCAGTGGGGTCCATTGGCCAGGAAGCTGCAATTTTGGGTTTCTTAACATCTTCCCATCCATGCTGGCTTTACCTCCTTGCACTCAATATCCCTATCTTTTCCCTTCTTTTTGATCTAAAAAGCGTTTTCTTTCTGAAGGAATTCAGAAGCCAATAGCTAGCCTTAGCCCTTCCTTGTTCTTATTCACACACCAAAAATAACTTTTTAAAATCCCTTTTAGTTGTCTTGACCATTTTGGGGAAGCCTCAGCTCATGCAGCATTAGTCTTCCTGACACTGTTTTTGTAAATCCATGCTGCTCTCTTATGTTTCTTCCTGGTTACACGTGCTCCTGTCGTTTATACATAAGCATGTAAAATTTGGTTGCTTCAGACTTTGTAGCCTCTCTTCAGCACACTTGTGTAGGTCCCTAAGAAAGGAGGGAGTACCAGATCATCAGAAACATTCACAAGTATCTGAGCGGTGGTCTTCCAAGGTTAGGAGAGGCTGGACTACTCCATAGCCAGTGGGAACAGGAGGTCTTTCCTTCTCTTGGGAGTGTGCTATTGCACCAGCTATGGACAGGAGGCACAGAAGTCACTAGGATTTGGACATTGCCTTGTAGGAGCCACCTGACAGGGGAGGTAGCTGCTTGAACGTGTAATAGTCATGGCATGTGATAAGTGCTAGTAGAGGTGCCATGAGAACCTAGGGGAAGGAGCCACGGTGTGCAAGATGCATAAGAGCTCAAGAAGGGGCCTTCCCTGCCAACTGGGTAGGAGAGGAGGTGACCATGAGGTAATGTTTGAAGGGTATGCCATTGTGACCCCTCTAAGAGGCTAGAAAGGCTGGTAACCGTATGTACAAAGTTTGGTAACATCAGAGAACATGGCCTATGAGAGAAACTTGAGGGTCCTTTGTGGGCAGAATAGGCATAGTTATGGGGATGAGGGATGAACTACAGGTTGGGGCCTCACCTCCCGCAGGGCTGACTCTAAGCCACAATTTTCACCATCACTTTGGAGCCCGTGATGACCATGTCTGACACTTTAGCTACCTGTCTTAAGTATTTTTTTTCCTACCCAAGACAGTAATTTTTCTTAGCTTTCTTATTTTGATAGAATTTTAAGACATACAATTTCATTTTATCATTTTCTCTGGTGGGTTTTTTTTTTTTTTTTTTGGGACGGTACTGGAGTTTGAACTTGGGGCCTTATGCTTGCTAGTCAGGTGCTCTACCACTTGAGCCACTCCAGCAGTCCTTTTTTGTGTTGGGTATTTTACAGATAGGGTCTTGGGAACTTTTTGCTCAGGCTGATTTCTTCCTCAGACTGATGTCTGCCTCCTGAGTAGCTAGGATTACAGGCATGAGCCACCGGCACCCAGCTGTATGTGTGTGTTTTTATATATGCATATAATTTTTGGAACTGATTGAAAGTAAGTTAGAAATAATTGTCCCTGCACCCTAAACACTTCAGTGTGCATGCCCAAATAAGAATTTTCTCCTATATAACCACACTTTGATGATCTAAGCAAAGAAGATTAAGATATACACAATATTATCTTGCCCATGTCCATGTTCAGATTTCATTTATTATCCCAATAATATATTCTTTATTGCTGTGTTTCTAATGTATGAGCATGCATTTTCTCATACAAGCTGAAAGAAATTCTTTCTTGATTTTGAAATTTTTGAAGAGAACATTGTAGGCACTTTGTAGAACACCTGCAGTTTGGATTTATCTGACATTTCCTCATGAATAGATTCAGGTTCTGCACTTTGGCAGGAGTTCTGTGTAGTGGTGTGAAGTCCTCAATACATTATGTGGAGAGGCATATGGTTTGTTCCAGTATTGGTGATGATAACCTTAGTCATTTGGTTAAGCTGGTGTCCACCAGAGTTCTACATCATTGTGTCAGCCAGCTTTCCATCACAGTAACAGTACCTGAGAAAAACAACTTAAAAGGAGAAAATATTTATTTTGGTTCATGGGTTCATTGAGGTCAGTCCATGCTTGGCCTTATCACTGTGGACCTGTGGTAGGTAGCATGTGGTAGAATAGACTGTTCTTCTCATGGAGACCAAGAAGCAAAGGAGAAAGGGGTGGGGGTAGGGGCCCCAATATTCTCTTCAGAGGCATAAATTTGAAGTTACTGTTGTAATTAATCTTTGAGGAGAAGCTTTCGGACCATGTATCTATCCTACACCTCATCAGGCTTCCACTTGCTGCTAGCAGCATCACTGTGGCTTTTGAAATCTGTCATCCTCATGCATATGAAGAAAAACGTTCCTGAGGGATGAATCTTGCAAACTCAATTTCATCTCTTTCTATTAGCTTTCATCTTGCTGGGCTGGGCCCTCCTGGCCCCCTTCCTGCCATCCCTTCCTTTTTATGTTCTTCTGTAGACAGCTGGTGTATAATGGTGGTTCCTGGGCTTAGGAAGAGATCTGAATCTTTTTTCCAAGTAGGAACTCACATGCTATCAGCATGACTAGTTTGACATGGTTCTAAACACATATTGTGTAGGCTCATCAGTTTTTCCCTCAGGCCTGGGACTGCATGTGGGAACGTGTGATCTGTCACTAGCTCTCTGAGCTCAGCCTGGGCTTAAGTGAAGGCTTAACGGGGAGAGGAAGGAACTATGGGTTCCTTCCCACTAGGATGGTATGGCTGTGCTTATGAAAGCTGTTCTTCTGACCCCTGCAACACACATGCTTTCCTTTTATAGCACATGATTACATGCTGGGCTTGGTTAGCTTTCTTTCCCTCTTGACTAAAACAAAAAACAAAAAAAACAAAACATGGCCCTTTGGTCATTGAGAGTTAAGGACCTTTTTCTGGTTTTAGGGGAGCCCTAACAGTGTGATCAACCTGAGGCTCTCACTGAGCCTGACCTACACTGAGACCTCCACATTTTTGCTAGTGAATCAGCTAAGGAATGGAGATATGGGAAGGTAAATTGAGGCTCAAGTACCAGGGAGAGAATTTGCAAGAAAAGTGGGGTCTAGAAATGCTCCTGAGTGTTGTGAAGCAGGGCATTGCTTTTCAAATACCACGGTTCATCTTTTTCCTTTTTGTTCTCTTGTCTCTCTCTTCTGTCTCTCCAGACAGGCTCAGAGCTCAGCCCAGTTGATGGACCTGTTCCAGGTCAGATGGACTCAGGGCCAGTGTACCATGGGGACTCAAGGCAGCTAAGCACCTCAGGGGCGCCGGTCAATGGTGCTAGAGAGCCCGCCAGACCCAATCTACTAGGGGCTGTGGGTCCTTGGCGGGTAGACCAGAAGCCCAACTGGGACGCTGCCCCAGGCCCAACTCACACTGCTCGCCTAGAAGATGCCCATGATCTGGTGGCCTTTTCGGCTGTGGCCGAAGCTGTGTCCTCTTATGGGGCCCTTAGCACCCGGCTCTATGAAACCTTCAACCGTGAGATGAGTCGTGAAGCTAGCAACAATAGCAGGGGCCCCCAGCCAGGGCCTGAGGGCTGCTCTGCTGGCAGCGAAGACCTTGACACCCTGCAGACAGCTCTGGCCCTTGCACGGCATGGCATGAAACCACCCAACTGCAATTGCGATGGCCCAGAGTGCCCTGACTACCTCGAGTGGCTGGAGGGGAAGATCAAGTCTGTGGTCATGGAGGGAGGGCAGGAGCGGCCCAGGCTCCCGGGGACTCTGCCACCTGTTGAGGCTGGCCTTCCAGCCCCAACCACCAGGCCACTCCTTAGCTCTGAGGTCTCCCAAGTACCTCCTCTGGAGGGTCTACCCCTGTCCCAGAGTGCTCTGAGCATCGCCAAGGAAAAAAACATCAGCTTGCAGACAGCCATTGCCATCGAGGCCCTCACACAGCTCTCCTCCGCCCTCCCCCAGCCTTCTCATTCCACCTCCCAGACTTCTTGCCCCCTACCTGAGGCCTTGTCCTCTCCTGCCCCATTCAGGTCTCCCCAGTCCTACCTCCGGGCTCCCTCATGGCCTGTGGTTCCCCCTGAGGAGCACCCATCCTTTCCTCCTGATAGCTCAGCCTTCCCTCCGACAACTCCAAGGACTGAGTTTCCTGAAGCCTGGGGCACTGACACCCCACCAGCGACACCCCGGAACTCCTGGCCCGTGCCCCGCCCAAGTTCTGACCCCATGGCTGAACTGGAGCAGCTGTTAGGCAATGCCAGTGATTACATCCAGTCAGTATTCAAGCGACCTGAGGCCTTGCCCACCAAACCTAAGATCAAGGTTGAGGCACCTTCTTCCTCCCCAGCTCCGTCATCATCCCCCGTTCTCCAGAAGGAGGCTCCCCCACCATCCTCGGAGCCTGACACCCACCAGAAGGCCCAGACTGCCCTGCAGCAGCACCTTCACCACAAGCGCAGTCTCTTTCTAGAACAGGCCCACGATGCCTCATTCCCTGCTTCCTCAGAGCCTCCTGCTCCTGGCTGGTGGGCCCCGCCAAGCTCACCTGCCCCACGGCCTACAGATAGACCACCAAAGGAGAAGAAGAAAAAGCCCCCTGCACCAGCTGGACCTCTTGTGGGAACTGAGAAAGCCACCCCTGGGATTAAGCCCAGTGTCCGAAAACCCATTCAGATCAAGAAGTCTAGGCCCCGGGAACCGCAGCCCCTCTTCCTGCCTCTCAGGCAGATCGTCCTGGAAGGGCTGAAGTCCTCTGCCTCCGAGGAAGTGCAGGCACCTCCACCTACCCCTCTCCCCAACCCTCTCCCTGCCACACAGGGCTCTGCTCTCCCTGTGCCCCCAGAACCTTCTCTTGCGCTATTTGCACCTAGTCCCTCTGGGGACAGCCTGCTGCCCCCTACTCAGGAAATGAGGTCCCCCAGCCCCATGGCAGCCTTGCAACCAGGCTCCACTGGCCCCCTTCCCCCTGCTGATGACAAGCTGGAAGAGCTCATTCGGCAGTTTGAGGCTGAATTTGGGGATAGCTTTGGGCTTCCCGGCCCTCCTTCTGTGCCCATTCAGGACCCTGAGAGCCAGCCATCATGTCTCCCAGCCCCTGAGAGCCCTTTTGCTACCCGCTCTCCCAAGCAGATCAAGATTGAATCCTCAGGGGCTGTGACTGTGCTCTCAACCACCTGCTTCCATTCAGAGGAGGGAGGCCAGGAGGCCACACCTACTAAGGCTGAGAACCCACTCACACCCACCCTCAGTGGCTTCTTGGAGTCACCTCTTAAGTACCTGGACACACCCACCAAGAGTCTGCTGGACACACCTGCCAAGAGGGCCCAGGCTGAGTTCCCCACCTGCGATTGCGTCGGTAAGTCCACCTGGGTGTCAAGGAAGGGCAAAGGGCCACAGCATGGTGTGCTTGGATTTCCAGGTTCTTTCATTTGGCAAACATTTACTGTGTGCTGACTGCTATATTAGGTCCTGGGAACCTAGAAATGAGCTAATAGGCTAGTGGAAAAGACTGAAGAAAACTGATTATGATGCCGTATGATGATGTGCCATATAGGTAGGCATAGGTGCTGTGTGGTACCCATCAAATCAAAGGCATATGGATACCTTCCTGTGGGAAACAGTGCCTGCACTGAGTCCTGAGGGCCATCAAGTGGACAGGAGACATTCTAGAAGAGAGAACAACTTGGATTGTAGGAGGATGGGACTCTTTCGGACTTTTCTTGGTGTTGCAAGAGCAAAAGAAGATGAAGAAAAGTGGTTTGAGGGACAGGCAGGGGCCAGATCTGTCAGGGATCTGGGAGCGAAGATCAGGAACTGGACTTGATTCCATGGGTAGTAGTTGAGCTCCTGAGGGTTTTAAAGCAAATAATATCTTGTCACCTTCTGCTTTTTTGGAAGACTGTTCTGGCCTGATGGGATAACTATAAGAGAGGTGTCCTTAACAGGACAAGGGCCTGCCTGAGAGACCAAGGGCCTCTTAAGGGGAGGATATGAGGCCAACTCAGTCTTGGTTTTGGTGGTGGTGTTTACTTGGGACGCCAATTTGGAGGGGAAGTGATGTGCTGTTTAGATGTTTCTAAAGTGGCTGAGAGATTGGAGGTTGAGTTCTGAGTTGGCTGTTCTAACAGTTGTGTACAGGCTGTGTGGGCACCTGTGCTGCAGGTCAGAGTGTTGAGAAGCTGAGTCAACTTGTTAAGCCTTGCCTTCTGGATTGAAAGTGGGGCCTGGGGCCTCAGAGGACCAGTGCTATGGACCTGACCATCCCAGAGGAGGTCACTGGTGCAGTGGTAAGCTCCAGGTCCATTCTGACCTCCCATGCTGTACTGTTAGTGGAGCATTCTGTGAAAGACTTGTGCATTTCCGGTGTTAACAGAAAGACATATTGATGCTTGGCAATGAGCACGTTGAGTTCTTGAGACTTTATGATACACAAACGGATCTTTTCCTAAGACTAAATGCACAAATAGCAATTAAGTTTTGTGACTCGTTGGGATGCTGCATCCCAGTCAGTGAGGATGAACTGGGCAGTCCTCCTGCTCCAACTATCCTTGGTATGAGGTCAAAGGACCAATGACAAAGACTCATTTGGGGAATGAAGAAAGTTGGCCCCTGTACCTCTAATGAGGAGGTGAACAACCAAGTGGAGGATCCTGCTGAAAATTTCAGACATGCTCCAAGATCATGGTCCTACTAATGCTGCCTTATTTTGATATGACCTTGAAGGGCCCCTTACTTTCCAATATTTGGGGAAAGTTTGATGTGGTCACATGCTTCCCCGCCTCTTCCCGTTTCTGCAGAGTTGTTTGCGTCTGTCCAACCTGCCTGGGTTTAGTGCTGTGTTCAGTATTTCTCCTACGCCAAGGTCAGGAATGTCCTTACCTTGGGACTTAGCTGATCCTTAGTAAATGTTTAAATTGTTGCATTTGGTTTTGTGGATATTAGGATTGGTTAAGCTAACTTTTTTTAAATGGAATCCCAACTCCATCACTTACTAGCTAGGAGAGCGTGGACACTTCATGTCACCTCTGTCTCGTTTTCCTCCAGTGTACAATGAAAATGATTACACCTACTTTTTTGAGGGTTGTTAGGATAGTCTGTGCAAGGACTTAGAATTGCTTTGGGCGCATATGAGGACTAGAAGAATCCTCACAGGATACACAGACAAGAAGAAAAGACAAGAAGAAAAGCATTGGCCATTCTTTATTTCAGTCATTTATTGATTCTCCATGTGACTACCAATAGGAATTAACATAAAGAGAAATGATTCATATGGTGGCTTACTTGAGACAAACTAGATGATAAAATATCCAGTGTCCCATTCAACAGGGTCTGCTGTATGCCTCCTTCCCCCCCGCAGCTGTCATGGGAATGTAGTCACAACGTGAGAGTATGTATAAGTCCAGGCTTAGTTGTCATCACAGAAGATAATGTTCAGGAAGCTCTTATTCAGAGCTGGATTTTGAAAAATGTAGGGAATATGGATGGAGAGAACAGCAAGTGTCCCCTCCAGATCGAGGAGTATATGAGCAAGAGTTAGGGGTCCCAGGAGTGTGAAGACAGGATGAAAGGCCAGTGGTGCAGGAGTGGTCCTGAAACCTCAGTGTTCTATGTTGCTCTGACTTAAGGAGCCCCCCCCCCAGAGAGGATGCAACCCAGCTTGAAGCCAGTGAGCAGAGATACAGGCAATAGACAGGGTCTGAGATATCTGGCAGTGGCAACATGGCAGCTGCTGCCTTGGCAGTTGGGTGGGCCCTGGCATGGGGAAGAAATAGGGGAGCAGAGTCCCATCACTACCAATCATTTATTGCCACAGCTTGCATTTTACCTGTATCTTAGTCTAAACAAAAAATTAGAACCAAACCTATGTTATATTGTTAAATGTTAACTTATAGAAAGATGCTTAGGAAAAACTGCAGAAACAAATAATACGTGAATGATCATCTCACCTAGGTGGAAAAATTTGGAAAAAAGACTAAAAGGAACTACACCAAGTGATCGCTTCCATGGTCAGACTGAGTCACTTTTCCCTCATGTTTTCTGAAATTTTCTGTGGTTTAAAAAAAAAAAACCTAC